TTGTCAAAAGGGAAAATGTTTGCAAATGTTAAAAATGGCAGGCAGACTGGGGATAAGAAGACTTAGAGACTCAAATATTGCTCTTCTTGGCTAATGGTGGTGGTGTTTTGCCATATAACAAATCTGTAGTGCCACTCCATCGCCGCCAACCATTACAGTTCTGTATCTCTCAGTTGGTTACCCAAAGCACTTGCCAATGCGAGGTCTTCAGGGGCTTGGAGAGGTATCAGCCAAATCAAAAACCTCTCTGCTCCCACATCACATTCATAGCAAACAATGGTGAATGTACAGGTTCTGGATAGACATTTGGACTGGGTTGGCCACCCTAGAATCTGCTGTCCCCCACCTCTTCTTGATGGCTGCTGATCAAGAGGCTATCATGGCAAATTTCTTTGAGTTGTTAGATGGTCTTTTGTGGACCCCTGTGTTCCAGAAAAACGTAATTCAAAATAGGAATTCAAGCTCCTAAGTCTCATGGAATCCTTAAAACTGTGTGACAATCTGAGGATGGAACTAAATAAAATCATCTTGTGCACCAAATCTTCTGGTTCTTTCTCAGTCTCCTCCTCCTATAGTTTCCTAGCTCCATCTACCCAACTACCACTTAATGTCAACGGTGTGTGGTCTATCCATGCTCCACCAGATTTCCAATCCTTTTGTTAGCTGGTGATCGTGAATAGAGCCCTCACACTTGATCAAGTGCAGATAAGAGGTATTACTTATGCCACTACCCTATCAATGTTGTACATGCGAAGAAGATGAAGAAAGCTCGATCCACCTTGTACTACATTGCAAGTTAGCTGGTTAAATTTGGCAATCCTTCCTAAAATTGTTTGAAATCCAGTGGGTCACCCTTGATTTATTCCAGTGTTTTAAAATGTGGGATGCAGCCGAAAGCGATGCGGGGGCCAATGCGGTGACGCAGCTCGATGCGATCCGAATGCGGGTCCATCGCGGCGATGCGATCAATAAATATAAAAAATTCTAAAAAATCTAAAAAAATAGGTTAATACATAAAAAAAAATATGGAAGTGATATATGTGAAAGTAAGTATTTAATTTATTCATTAACTCCAAAAGTATTAGCTATCGGAGATTCTGTATCCACTATCCCCTGATAGAAACTAGAAACTTGAAACTAGGTTCATAAAACATTCAACAATCAACAACCATTAGCACGAATCTGCAACCACAAACTTTAGTGTCACAAAATACTACAAACTAAAAGTCCATAAAGATTTAAAGAGTTTTAAAAGTTACAAACCCTCGATTTGTTGTCACAAGTCGCCTAACTTCCTCAAATCAACACCCAAAAGATACAAATCGACAACCAAGTATCAACAAACGCACAAGTCGAAGAACTTCAACAAATAAAATAATAAAATTCCACCCAAATTTTTTTTTTGATTCAATTGATCTAATAAAAGCCACGGATGTGGCTGAAAATGTTATTCGGAGGATTTAATACCCCCGAAACCCTTTCCCCCAATTTTCGAAGGTCAAAATGACCTTATTACCCCTACCCAAGGGGTACAGTTTAGAAAAAACAAAAATGGCGGAAGATCATGTAGCCTGATGCGGGATGTGGCTCTAATGCAGAGAGATGCGGCACATATGCGGGCGCATCTCTCCAAACCGCATATGCAGGGATTTTCGATGTGCTGCTCAGCCATTAGCGCCTGATGTGGCCGCATTTTAAAACATTGATTTATTCCCTCTGCTTTTTAAGATTCCTCCCCCTTCCCTAAGGCAAGACTGGTCCCGTGGGAACTTATCATCCTCTCTATCTTCAGGTCCATTTGGCTGAAAAGAAATATATTCAAACATTTCAAAACTTAGAAGTCAACATTCCAAACTTCATTGATTGCACCAAAACATCTATCATCCCTGGGACTCAGTTCGTAATGAAATTTTTGGATTTTCCTCTTCAGTTAATTTCCCAATGGAAGTACTTCATCAGAAGTCAACCACTGACAATATTGGCTCAATGGTAACTGTCAACTGTGCGTGAGTGCCATCAAATCAAATTTTGACAGTCGCTCCTAAGGCAGTCCTGGGCCTGCTGGGTTTGGTGGTTTGTTTAGGGATGACTGTAGTGAAACCCTTCTCAGCTCTAGTCCGATTGGTACTATCGACTCCAACATGGAGAAAATGTTAAAGCCTGATTACAGGCCTTATCCATTTTGATCATTCCTGAGGTTCACAGCTAATTGTGAAACGAAACTCAGGCAATGCTATTTCCTGGCATCTAAATCCTCTTCCACACCTTGAAGCAGTCAACTGTTCGACCAAATATTCCAACTATGCCGCCCAATGCAAGTGTCATTCAATGATACATGGAGAGAAGCAAACCACAATACTGCCACATTGGGAAAAAAGAAAAAGGCATCCCCAAACCCAACATTTTGAACTCTAGAATACCCCTCCATGCTTCAACACATAGCCACAGCCATTCTTGCTCAAACCTTAATCCCTTTATTCTTGAATGGAAACCTTGAGATTATTTCATTCAAATTTTGTACACCCCGTCACACTTGACAGATTTTGTAGACATCCAATTTTGAAATAAAATACAAGGTAACACTTAAAAAAAAAAAGAAACAGTGGACCATGGGAAGATTTTACATTCATTTTCTCTTTAGAAAATGTTGACATGAAATTCACATATTTTGTTCCCATTAACAATGTGTGGAATTTGAACAATGAGACTTTGACATATGCTTCCAAGTCCCGACCTTTCCCACATAAAAACTGCCATTCAAATATAAATAAAGGGCATTTCATCCCATAGTCGTACAGTGTATCATGCAATCATTGGAACCAGCTCAATATTTCAGAAGAAAACAAATATAGATTCTTCTTCCATATGACCAATATAAACAGATAGTTATTGTTCGTATTTCAGTTGTATGATCGTCAAAAGATTATAGAAATTAAAAGTTACCTTCAAATTTTGCAAATTTTCAAATGTTTCAGCTAAACTTGTCAGAAGATTTGCTGAGAGATCAACCTGCACAGTTTAAAATGAAGACAGTTCAATTTCATATTAACTGTGTAAGGTTCCATAAGGACAACCTCCACATAGGAGTACCAAACTTAAGCCGCTGCTTATCTTTTTGATTGAAAAACCAGATTAATACTTCATGAGAAGAGCTTCCAAAAAACTGGCAATGGGTTACTCCACCTCAATAAGTGAGCAGCAATCCCCAATAGATGAAGGCATCAAGGTTAGTCTGGAATGTGTAAGATATATTAACTAGACGCACAAATATTAGAAGCATGCATCCATTATTGACTTTGCAAATATCCATATTTTTTATACCCATGTCAACTACATAAACGAAAAAAGAGCTTCACCGTCTATAACAGCTACAAAAATTGTGGAAAAGGTTCTGAACAGTGCCACCTAAATGAATTTAAACCTTAATCATTCAATGAATTCACCCCAAAACCAAGTACACCACAAATACTAGTTCATGACAAGAAAGTTGAAACCTGAAATCCACAAGTTCAATAAACTAACAAACACTTCTGAATGGAAAATCAACTCAAAAGAAATTAAATAGAAAAAAAAATATATTTCAGAGAGTTAAACACTAAAGTACTTTGATGCCTCATCTCTAGTGGGTCAACTCAAAAGAAGAATCTAATGGTTCCAAATTGATAGCAGCAAAATGTTGTTTAAGAAACAACAGACTCTAAATTGCAGGGATTCAAATCATTGCTTGAGAATTTGAGTTCCATATGTGTCATACTGTTTTTAAAATAGATGATGATGTCATGAGATTTGCAACGGATCAAACTTTGAGCGAAATATTGGCAAACCATGTATACGGAAAATTGGTAAATACTTAAATCCTATAAGAAGAAAGTGCTTTCTTACCCAAACATCCTACAAAAGCAATAGATCAAGGTTAGGGGGTAACTAATCGATAAGTTAAATAAAATACTTTTATATTCCTAATATAGTTATTGTTGATGTATATGTGCAAGCTAGATATAGGGGAGTAGTTTGGATGTGTAAACTCACCGCACGAAACTGCCCTATCAGGGATGGGGGCAACGGATCAAAAAGGCCTTACAAGCTTCTGCCTCCATCCCTGAAAAGCATTGGTTTACATGCTAACTGGGCAATTTTCTGAAGCTACAAGGCCAACACCCAATGTTCAAGAAATACGACCACCTAGGCGCCTAGGCAGCAGCCCCGCCCCACCTAGGAGACCAGAGTGCCCTGGCTAGATCCTCCCTAAGCAGCTGCTCAGGTGGGCTAGGCGGGCACCTAGCACCTTAGCCGAGGCACCCACCAAAGACAAGTAAAATATCTTCGTATTTGAGATTCTTTCCTTATTTCGAATTGTCTTCTACGGGTTCTAATCTAATAGAAGCAGGGACCAAGGATGGAAATATGGTTTAACCTGGATAAAAGATAAAGAATGAAATTCTATGAAGATTTTGGTGCTATAACATATGTCAAACTGTAGAGCAATGTCCAAGAGTAAAACATAAACATCCCAGATCAATATTTGTTAAAGATGAACACCATAGAGCTAAAAGAAGTCAAATGATCAACGAATGGAACACTCCCATTTTTAAACCAAATGTATTTTACGATGAGTGCCTTTGGCCTTTTTATATTTAATTTCCGAATTTTGGAATACCTATTGTTATCCACTTTCAATATCTCAAGACTGGTCAATTGGCCGATCTCTTTTGGCAAGCTTGTCAACATATTGTGTTCGATCTGTAGTTGCTTTAAAGAAGACAGAGCCCCTATCGCACTGGGAAGGGTGGTTAACCTGTTATAAAAGACAAGATGTATGAGATGATAAAGAAGCAAATGCCCACCAGATTGGGACATAATGGACATCCTACTCTCAAATATGCATCATAATTAGGGTAAAATATAGTGTTTAACCATTATGAAGTTTGAAAACTACGACATTATAGACATATTGCATTTTTTCTTACCAAAGTGAGTTTCATAACTAAGCTCTTCTTGTAAAGAGGATAGTTCGGCAATGGACACTCAATTCAAGCTATGATGCACATTATAATTGTCTTGGTTATAAATGTCTCCTAATTCTAACTTTCTTTTTGATAGTTCACAATTTCATAATCTTAACATCAATAAAATGCATATCAAGATCATGTATATCAACATCGTCGGCAGTTTTTGCAAAAACAACAATCAAGGCTAGGAAAGTTATAGCATGGGAACAACCATATTACGCAAATCAAGGTCACAAGTACCATATGACATGAAAATTAAATTTGTTAGAATTTTTATATTACAATTATATATTCCTATATATCACTTTCTTTTACAAGTTTCCTCTCCCCCACTCGTTACGCCTCCTCTCTCAACCAAAAAATCACATGCATTTCAAAAATAATCTCAAATTCTACTACCTACCACAAGATACAACACAACATATCAGGATGCAAGTGAGAAGCTGAATGTCTTTATTAAAGTACCCATCTCACTTTTGGGATGCAAGGGGGAAAGATGCAAGAGAATAAGTGTTCAATAAAAAATTGAATCATGGATAACTTTTTAATTAGAAAATTACGAAACAGGTATAATTGCAACTGGTTCCCTAATAATTCACAAGTGTAATGACAACAAAGGCTAAAATTGATTTATTTACTACAAGATTTTCTTACAAGGATATATAACTTCCTTACAAGTTGAATCATATACACTTTGACAATCTGTGGAAATTCCAAGTCCAGCCCACATGGAAAAAAACTATACAAATATTTGGGAACAAGTTAGGAAAGGCTTACTGGTTGTGGTTTAGTGAGAGTATTGTTAAAGACTTCAAAGCAGTGACTCCTTCCCAGCATATTTTTTTGTCCAGAAGAGCATTTGCATTTAGAAGTAATTTCTACATCAAATGAAAAATCCAAAGGAAGGTCCATATGGCAGCACTAAATTTAACAAGACAATCTCAGAAGTAATTTTGATAATATCATCAATCACAATGTTGCTAGAGGAAAAAAATTACACGAAGAGAGCTCAAAGATCCAATAGCAATGGGCAGCTCCTGCAACGCGTTGTGGCTAAGATCCAATACTCGGATTGCTGCCCCGCAAGCCCAAATCTCTTCAGGAACAACCTTCAAACCCACCGTAAAACAGATTAAAATATCAAAAAACTGATATGATGATCTAACCATGAAAGGGAAGCTTGCTAGGATTCAATATAATGGTGCCTAAATGCTCAACAAGGGGGTAGGGATTTTCATGTTGATAGTTTCATACTTATGTACTACCTTTAAGTTACATTCTGACAACGCAACTATCCCAGTAAGCCTCCAACGCTCTAATCTGCTCTTCCCTGCAGGTGCCTCAATCTTAACATTCCCAGCTTGATTGAGAGAAATGTCCATCAAGTTAGATGAGTGAGGAATACTTGCATTCATGGGGCCATCCTGATCAAGGTATTAGAATATTAGTGGTCTTCAAGAATGGTGAGAACTAATATCTAGTAAAAGGGAACCATTAGTTCAAATTTCTTATGGAGATATAATGAGTTTGCATCCAAAAATCACACTTAGAACAAAATAAAGACAAGGGTATCAATGCTCCAATTGCATGTTAAAAATTTGTTTGTCACATCCCAAAATCCACAATATGAACAGAACTAGCTTAGAACAAATTGAAGTGACAGATGTGTAAACCAAGAGAAAGTTACCCCTTGATGTAAACCGTGTGAAGCCATCAGCATAATTTTTGATCCTTCTGACAAGCCCAAAGACTTTAAAGACAATGAATCGACCAGAATTTTACCTGCTTCAGACCAGGAGATATAAAATTCCCATAAAGCTAATGATGCAACACTATGATGTTTTCTATTGTATAAAGTTGCATGGGTCGATATTATTAGTAAATACTGAAATAAATTGCAGCCGAAACTGACAAAAATGAGACATGCAAATCCAAAAAAAGGGTTTTTATTTAGAGTATTTGATACGCACAAGAATTTAAACAGGATTCCAGGAAGTAACTGCTTAAACTGAAAGATTGAAACCAGTAACATCAAAATGAGATCCATTGATGAGACATTTAGCCATCCCACCTATAAAAGACAAGCTCTCATTATTTTTTTATTTTTAGTAATTCTAAGTGCTACATGAAAAGGCTCACTCAGATTTTGGTTACAAACCATCTAACAAGTGTGAGAGAAATAGGTCTCAAAGCAGAGTATTAAAAGACAATGTAACAGAGGATTAAGTGATAATATGACTAACAAAGATGATGGTTAGATGATAGGAGGTGTTCTATGATAGTTAGATGATGATAGACTCCACAAATATGACAACTTATGTACCTTTTATTTTTTTCTCTTTTCCCATTCCATGTATATGTCCCAGTCTGTTTGTCCTCTCTGTGCAACTTTATATATACATTAATTCAGCAATGGGTCACACACTTAGCTATAGAAAAAACAATGTTACCGAAACTGTTGCATTCGTTCCAGATGTCACATCATCCATCTCCAGAATTTTATTAAAGAGACAGGATTAATTGATAATGTGATTGAAAGAGAGAATTAATTGATCAAATGATAATGTGATAGCATGAGGATTAACCTCAGCTTCTTCAATAATCTTTTTATGATGACAAGGTGGTGGATTGGCAACATGACTACGTGGCTCGTTCAATATATAAATAGCAGGGTTGTTGATCTTTCATTCACGAGTCTTTTGCATTGACTTGTTTTGTTGAGAAAAATAATAAATCAGGTAATTGCTGAGTCCCAAAGGATTTCACTGAAATGCTTCCAAGTAATTATATACATTCATGGGAGGCTTCAAACCCAACTAAAATTTTGGTAATCAAGCAGTTAATGCGTTAAATCAAAGAGAGGAACCTATAATTTATGTCCGATGTTGTCTTTTGCCGAACAGGTGGGCATAGCACCACAGGGGAGGGATGCTCCTCGTAATTTTTACAGACCCCATACGGTAATAAACGGACACAAAGGTTGTCCGTACCTAATTTTCTCTAATTTCTTAGGGAAAACAATGGGTTTTCTCAGGAAAAACTCAGAAAAAAGGTGGGTTAACAAGAACCCGCTTAATGAAAACCAAATAATTCAAAACTCTCCATAGAATTATTAGCAAATCGCAGAGAAACCACAAAACAGAGTATGCATATCTGGCACAATGAAAGAAGAATCAGTACCTTTGAATATAAGTTTCTGGCCTCGAGGGAGTACATTTGTTAGGGTTTGGAGGAGAGATTTGATATGGGAAACTGATTCGGAGGGGGAGACAGTAAGAGAGAGAGTTTTCCCTGAAAACTTGACATGGAGAGTGAAGGGTGGCTCCTCACCTTCGCCTTTTTCCATTCTCACTGCGCAGGAGCTCAGAGACGAAGGAAACGTCTCTCAGAGTGAAGCGTGGCTCCTCAGAGTGAACGTCTCTCAAATGCAAAAAGAAAAAGTTTATACAAATGCGAGGCTCTAAACAATCAAATTAACGAGGACCAGGAAAATTTTAAGGAAAATTTACATAAACCGCCCCGAAAATCAACTATTCATTCACCTTATCCCCAGCTAAACTTTCGTGACTATTTTTTTTTTTTTTAAATTTATATTTCCTAGCAAATACCCCCTACCAAAAAAAAAAAAATCTAAGACAATAGTACCCCTCCTTTTACCTACGAACCTATTTCTACTCTCGCTCTCTCTTTTTACTGGCGCTCTCTCTCTAAAAAAATACCCCTCTGATCCGACGTTCTTAGGGTCAGTTCCACATTTTGGGAACTGAGTTCGACATGTTTAAGGTGCAGTCCGACATTTACGTCACTGGATCTGCCTCATCCCGCATTTTGAGGGGCGGTTCGACGATTAGGGATGCCAGACCGGCGTTCATATATTGCGGTCTGGCGTTGGGGAAGGGCAATCCATTGTTTTCATGGGGCAGTCTGGCGTTTTATCTCACTGGAATGCTCCAGTGCAGCGTTGTGAGGGTCAGTCCGACATTTTTGGAAGGTCAGTCCGGCATGTTTAAGGTGCAGTCCGGCATTTATGTCACTGGAACTACCCCAGTCCAGCGTTCCGAGGAGCAGTTCAGCGATTAGGGTGGCTAGTCCAGCGTTAATTTATTGCGGTCCAAGGATTTTTTTCTGTTGGAGGGGCGTTCCGACGTTTTACAAATTCGATCCGGTACTTTCGTTTTATTAAACTTGAAAATGACTTTTTAAAATATGGGAAGGGTATCTTCATCAAAAAAAAGTTCACTTTTTGTATTAGGGGTATTTGCTAGGAAACATAGTTTTTGAGAAAAGTTGTTAGAAAAGGTTCGGTGGTGGATAAGCTGAATGAATAGATATATTTGAGGGGGTTTATGCAATTTTCCCAAATTTTAATGGACAAATGAAAAAAATGGATTTGAAAATTTATCTTGCAATGTATTTTTGGACGTTCAATTTTTTAGATTTTCAAGTGTTAAAACTTTAAATTTTATAATTAGCAATGAAAATACATTTTCAAGCCATCATAAAAATTTCCGGTATTCAAAATTACCCCTTTGATATTATTTGAAAGTGGACTTTACTTTGATGAACTAGAACCTCAGCCTTATACAAACCGCATCATAATTTTAGGATTGGGTTTGTACTTTGTACAATACTACAAGATGTCAATATGGCATTATTAAAGTGGGGTTGTAGTGGGGGAGGCAACCGATTGGGTCGTGTCCTGGTCGGTCATGCACCCAAAGTCACTGGACCCATACCCAAACTTGGACCCCAAAAATATATTATGGGACCAGACCTAGGTTTGGACCTGACCAGACCCAATTGAACCCGACCTAAAAATCAAAATATCAATCTATTGAAATATATTTTATAAATTCATTTAATATATACATCCATTATTGTTTAAATATTTAACTAAATATATATGTTATATTCATTTAAATATTATATATTAGAAAACACTACTCAAAGGAAATACTACAAAACGTCTATAGATGAAGTTCTACAATACTTCACCTACGACTTTATTACCGTTCAAAGTTTAGCATACGGTTATAGATGTCTGATAGTATCTGAATTTTAATATGTTTTTTTACAAGTCATAATGATCTAAAATTTTGTAGGTGTATGTGCCTTACTGAGATACACATAATAAAATATAAAAATAATAATTTGAATGATAAAAATTAAATAAAATAACCCTATAAATTTTCAGGGGTAATTTCATCATTTTATTTTATGACTATTATTTATTTAATATTTTATTTTGGTGAGACTTGGTCATATGTACACAAACCCTAAATTTGAGATAAATATAATTAGTACAAAATTATAAAAATTCAAATACTACCGAAAACTGTAATCACAGGATAAACTTTGGACAGCGATGAGGTGTAGGTAAAGTACTGTAGAACTTCACGTATAGGCGTTTTGTAGATGCCTCCTTATTTAAATATCAATACTATTTGAGTCGGGTCTACATAGACCTCAAACTGGATCTAAATAACGTTCGGGTCCAAGAAATATGGATTGAACATGCCAGGTCCAATTTTTTGGACCCATAAGAGGACCCAAGTTGGGTCTACCAGTGGCGTCCTAGTTGGGCCCAAGTCCATTGCCACCCCTAGGTTGTAGACACCCAATTTTTTTTAACCTATTAACTAGATTTCATTGAGTCAATGAAAGGGATATAAACACTTGGCCCAACGGGCTAAGGAAAAAAAAAGGGAAAATTTCATATAGAACCCTAATTCCTCGTATTATTTCATGGTAGAACCTCCTTCCGTTTTTCTTTCAAGCGGCATAAGAAAACCCTTAAAGATTTCACCATACCCCCTCATCTCTTATCTCCCTCTCTTATTAACTTTTGATCATAAAAATTAGCCCCAACACATCTTTTTATATTATTTCAACCTAAAAACTTTTTTTATGGGTGGAAAGGGAAAAAGAAGGTTAAAATTTTTTTTGGAATGAAATAGTATAGAAAGATTTGTTGGGCCTAATTTTTACGGTCAAAAGTCAATAAAAGAAGGAGATAAGAGATGAGGGGGTACAGTGAAATCCTTAGGGATTTCCTTATGCCGCTTGAAAGAAAACTGAAAATAGGGTATATCATGAAATAATATGATGAATTAGGGTTCTACACGAAATTTCCCAAAAATAAGATAGAAGAAGCAAAAAAAGAGAGGATCATGAGTGTATTACCGCTTCAGGAAGAAGAAATTCATCTCTCTATTCACTAGCTGGAAAACTACTCTTCTACCCCTTAAGTGAGAGAACATCTCCTCTAGCTTCTGAATATTCAGACGATAAAAAAGAAGGAAAAGATTCCATTGAGACAATTATGAATTCTAAGGAGTTTCCGTTACTTGACCGAACAACCCCAAATTCAGTTATTTCAACTACACCGAATGATCTTTTGAATTGGTCAAGACTCTCCAGTTTATAGCCGCTTCTATATGGTACCAGTTGCTGCTTCATTGAATTTGCTTCATTAATTGGCTCGCGATTCGACTTTGATCGTCACACTAACCCATCTCTAAGGAGTTGAACTAGGATCCAAGCACCATTTGATAACATTAGACGAGTCCCCTTCAATGATATGATTAACAGGCTAACTATCAACTTTCAGCATATAGAATTGGAGGCCAAGGAGTTAAGCCTCAATAGCTTGACACTGTGGCAACATCCCATTGGTAGTCCAAAAAATATGTCGTAAATGGTCCCTTAGAGTTCTGACATACCCTGTTCTCATTCTATTATTACGCACACTCCCATCAAAATTCAACTTGACCCCACGAGGTGGGAAGCAGCTTCCAAACATAAACTTTCCTAATCTTATGTTTCCTAAAAAACAGCAGGTTGCAAAAATTATCTTGGAAGTCCTCCCAAGGTATAGTTTTAAAACCTTCAGTTGCCTTAATGTACGGGCAATCCCTATGAAAATAAAGATTTGGATTACCTTCATAGGCCTCGTCCTATTTTCGAAGGTCCTTAATTTTCTTGTCCTTTTAGATTTACCAAAGGGTCATAGTCATTGAAATCTTTCAGGATAATCTGCTTTTGGAGAAGAGCAGAGAGCTTAGTTGCAATATTAGCTCTGAGACCGGCATAACAATCCCAACAATGATAAGGTAAACTCACAATGGAGGAAGAGATGTGCATTTGTCTCCATCCCTTTTGCATAGACTACATCCATTAACCACAATTCTTCCCCCTTTTCTACAACTGTTCCAAAGATAGGATTCTATCTCTACACACTAACTATAATAAAGCTTCGAATCTATGCGGGAACTTAAAAGTTCAAACTCTATGAATCCAATGAGGATCAACAAATTACATATCCCTGCTTATGACCTCATAAAGAGATTTAGCATTAAAGCACCCTCCTAGTTCTAGCTCCCACTATTTTGTTCAATGTACTCAGGGAGTATAAATGAAAGTGGAACATCTCAAGTAGCACTGTAAACTGGCGAGCTGTCATGAAATTGACTCTCTTGTATCTTAAATGTATGCTCCAAACCATATTTCTACCTTTCCCGATAGCCAAGTACGAGACAAAACAATACTTATTGGTTGCTATCTGAAAATTGAAGAAGTTGATCTCCAATTAACTTAGCCAATAAAAAATTTAGTCTTACCACCAACACCCACTACCATCCTCGCATACGATAATAGAGTGGTCACACCTCTTAATAGTCGTCCATATCGCAGACGTACCCCCACGATTAACCATAGTTAGAAATCCAAACGGGTAAGTACCTCTATATAGCTGAATCTAAGCCTGATCTGATACCAGATCATATTAACCTGGTGAACCTCACTACACCTTATCTAGTAGTCTATAATCATTGAGAAAACTACCAAATCTAATCAAACTACCAAATCTTATCAAAATCTGCTTGAACCCTACTCAGAAAAACACAAAAACTTCATAAAATAGTATGTAGGAGTCCTCAAAATATCTCACAATTGAACCTAAGGACCACTGTTGGATTCAGCATACTCTTTGTCATGAGTTTAGGTTCGCAATATGGGCATGCCGAACAACTCGATAGGCCCAGCAGCTCAAACCGCATTGCTGACATCTTTCAAGGCATCAAAAAATTTTCTAGAAAATTTTGGAAAGTTCTGGGTGTTTCTAGGAATTTATGTTTGACTGTTTATAGGTCGTGTTTGACATATTTGAGTAATCAAGAAGCCTAATCCTTTTGGATTTAAAAATCTAAAGATGGACCTAGAATTTCTCATCCCAATTGAACTAGGATCTATTTAAAGGCCTATATAAACCCCATTTAGTTCTTTTTAATTCATAACTTGGAAATAACCTAAGATCCCATAACCTCAACCCATAGGTTTGAAACCCGATAGCCTTGAGAAACCCTAGAGAAAACCCTAGAGCATAGAAACCTTAGAAAACCCTTTATGACTCAACCCTAAGCCAAAACCTAATTTTTTG